AAGCTTAGCACCTTTTCACCGGAATCGAAGGAGATTGCCTCGGAAACAGCGTCAGCATGAATCTTCCAATCGACAGCTGGACAAGAGGAATCCGCCGTCGTCTTCTGGTGGAACTGACCTTCGAATCTGGCACATTCACCCATCTTACACACACATTTTACTGTTTCCATATTTCAATCTTGCACACATCGTCTATTCTCAAATACTCCAGACATAGCAGTTGGGTTAGAGAATCAGTGCATGTGGAAAACTGGTTTGAGAAGAATCCCTTAGTACATTCATTCATTGCACAGAAGGTGACAAGGCCTCATAAACATTCAGCAGAAAGTGGAACAAGGGCTAGACTTCACGTGTCTTTTTGACAGGTTTTGGCTTATTGCTAAGGCTGGAGAAGCCGGCAAATCATCTGGGCATGTACCAACAGACAATCTTCGAGGTCTACCTGACACCAGAACCAACTATATTCAGCCAACAGAGATTGCGACCAAGCGATGGACCCACCAACATTTCAGCCATCACATTTTATGACAGCTCTTCCATGCTCTAAATGTGGCAATTTGTGCCGACAACTTCTCGTCATTTCGCAGAGGAACCCACTTTAAGCCTTCATCTGTACCATTCTGACGGACATCTTCAGACCAATTGATCACTCTAATAAATAGAAATAGAGAGAGCAAAGACTAATCATTGCCGGGATGCACCAGTTGTGACTGATGCTTCTTTTGGCGTCATGACGATTGTCACCGCGACGTTGCCACATGGAAGCGTCATTCTGGCACCGAATTCCACCACACCCCATGGGCCGAGCAACACTTTCCCCTCAACGCTGTATACCTGACCAGTTTGCCTCAAAACTGGCAGATTTTCTGTTCGAATCCCGTCAAGGACGCCGGCGAGAAGACCGAGGCCCAAGGTCGAATGAGAAGTCTATCCATAGAAAATGGATTTTGAAGATCATCCCCGAACGAGAGCAGTCCAATTGGATACACGCAGTTGCCAACGAATGAGGAGAGTTAGATAAAGAAAAGAATCACGCTTTAATGAGGTCTACCAAAGCAGGCCAGAGGAAAGCTGTGCAAGTCACAGATGCTTACGACGTCAAGACTATCTTCTTTGGGCGGCCCAGACAATTTATCGCCTAAAATGAATAGTCAACTGACATAAAACGACAGGGAATTGATGTGAAACCGGTTTTTTAATGTATCCACCATTCCAAAATGCCGCCCTGATCTAGAATTAAGTTTGGGCTTCACCTCTTTAAGAGGGTGACAACGTAGCCAATCAGAGTGGGACTCGAAGGGTGCGGATCGAGAAAGGGTTTCCATTACACCTGACCGCGGTCGAGCCTGGTATGTCACACATAAGCCGGTGATACTAAGCCTCCCATCCGGTAAAACTAGCAGGTCAATTAGTCATAGAAAGTGGGAAATTGTAGCATCATCATCAGTCGGGCAGGGCTGGATACACTTGCTAGTGGACAAAAAGCAATGAAAATGGATGAAAATGGTATATGAAATTGCATGCTATCAGAATGGACGGCCAGAAACAGGGAAACAGACGTCAGATCGGGCTGAAGACCCTTCCAAAATCGTCAATTCAGGCAACAGTAAGAAGTCAACATGGTGCATGAACAAAGCAAATTCCCAACAACCAGAATGATGCTCAGGTCGCATGAGGTTTAGTGTTCGTCTGTCCATGCGTGTGCTGACAGACGAGGCTGAACTAATGCACTTGCATCTGTACCAAAATAGGCCTTAAATTGCTCCGGAGGCTGTAGGCTAGGGAATAGGAGTAGTATGCAGATAAGTAGGTAGACAGGGAGGGAGGCAAATGGGCGATTAGAGGGTAAATGGCTGGGCAGATGAGTAGGTGGATTGATAGACAGCAGAGTGGGTAGGCAGCAAAGCCGGAAGAGGGTCCGAGAGGGCAGGCAGGCAGGCAGGCAGGCTGATAGACTTTAGATTGGCAGTTTTGTAGGCGTGTATAAAGATAATGGACAGAATGAGAATTGTTGAGACTGTATATGAATGTACAGTTGAATAGCTAAGCCGGCTGTGTGTGCACATTTTAAGAGGAAAGTA